AGCCACTCGAAGACCTCGCTGAAGAGGGCGAACATCTGCGCCGTGTACTTGGCCTTGACCTCGCCCTCGAAGCCGTAGATCTGGTTCATGTTGTCCGTCTCGTGGTTCCCTGCGGGGACAGCGTGGGGACACCGAAGGGGACATGGGGACACTGCGGGGACATTGTGGAGACACTAAAGGGGACATGGGGACACTGCGGGGACAGCGTGGGGACACTGAAGGGGACATGGGGACACTGCGGGGACAGCGTGGGGACACTGAAGGGGACATGGGGACACTGCGGGGACACTGCAGGGACACTGTAGGGACACTAAAGAGGACATGGGGACACTGCGGGGACACTGCAGGGACACTGTAGGGACACTAAAGGGGACATGGGGACACTGCGGGGACGCTGTGGGGACATTGTGGGGACACCAAAGGGGACATGGGGACACTGTGGAGACGCTATGAGGACATTGTGGGGACACTGAAGGGGACATGGGAACACTGCGGGGACACTGCAGGGACACTGAAGGGGACATGGGGACACTGTGGGGACACTGTGAGGACACTGCGGGGACAGCGTGGGAACACTGAAGGGGACATGGGGACACTGTGGGGACGCTATGAGGACATTGTGGGGACACTGAAGGGGACATGGGGACACTGCGGGGACAGCGTGGGGACACTGAAGGGGACATGGGGACACTGCGGAGACGCTATGAGGACATTGTGGGGACACTGAAGGGGATATGGGGACACTGCGGGGACACTGTGAGGACACTGCGGGGACAGCGTGGGGACACTGAAGGGGACATGGGGACACTGCGGGGACGCTATGAGGACATTGTGGGGACACTGAAGGGGACATGGGGACACTGCGGGGATGGGGGACACTGCAGGGACACTGTGGGGACATAGGGACACTGCCTGAATTTGGGGACACTGCCAGGCCAACCCCAAAGGGACAGGGATGTCCCCAACCCCGAGGGGACAGGGACGGGGGGTGGGGACAGTGCAAGGCCTGCCAGATTGCGATCCATTCACAACAACGGCAGCTGCCAAATAGTGATCCATAGCAACAACGGGGAACAATGGGGGGACAATGGGGGACAGTGGGGACAATGGGGACAACGGGGACAGTTGAGGGGACACCAAGGACCCCGGCAGGCTCCGGAATTACCTCGGAGCAGATGGAAATGGTCGGGGTAGAGCAGCTTGAAACCGAAGAGCGTCAGGATGACCTCGACCGAGAAGGAACCGCGATCCACAAAGTCCCCGTTGAAAATCTGTCCCCAACGGGTTCAGGACAAACGACACCACCCCGGGAGTGTCCCCAAGGTGTCCCCAAGGTGTCCCCAGGGTGTCCCCAAGCCCGAGAAGGATACGTAAGGGTTGGCCTCGGA